GGAATAGACGCCGCTACCATCAGCTATGCGGAGTTCTCCCGCCGCTTCAGGGCGGTTTTCGATCATCCCCCAGAGGGGAAAGCGGCGGGGGAGCGTCTGTTCCACCTCCGACAGGGGAAGAGGAGCGCGCAAGAGTTCGCCCTGGACTTCCGTACTCTGGCGGCGGATGCGGGGTGGAATGAGAGGGCCCTCATCGACCACTATCGGTGCAGCCTACGAGAGGACGTTCGCCGACAGTTGGCCTGCAGGGACACCAACCTAAGCTTCGATCAGTTGGTGGACATGTCGATCCGTCTGGATACCCTGCTGGCTACCCGCGGACGTCCGGAGTTGGGGCCGTCCATTCCATCCCCCAGCACCTCCGAGCCGAGCCCTATGGAGCTCGGGGGTGCTGGTGCTAGAGAGAGGAGGAGAGAGACCCGGAGAGAGGCCGTCCCCTGCACCAACTGTGGCCGTAGAGGACACACTGCGGCTCGGTGCTGGGGAGGGTCTCCTGGGGATCGAGGCAACAGGTCACGCACTGATGAGTCTTTTCAGGTGAGTAGGCGCCCAACTCACCCAGAGCTCTCTGTTGTCCACTTGTGTATTCAAGTTGAATTTCCCCAGGTTTCATCTCATTCCCAGCATAAGGCGCTAGTCGATTCAGGCGCAGCTGGGAATTTTATTGATCGTAATTTCTGTGTTAAGTTAGGGATTCCCCTCCTACCAGTAGATGTGCCTTTCCCTATCCATGCCCTAGACAGCCGTCCTTTGGGGTCAGGTTTAATTAGTGAGGTCACGGCGCCACTAAAGATGAAGACGCAGGGGGGTCATGAGGAAATCATACAGTTGTATCTGATCGACTCTCCTGCGTTTCCCGTGGTGCTCGGGCTTCCTTGGTTAATCTCTCATGACCCCACCATTTCGTGGCAACAGAGGGCTCTCAGGGAGTGGTCTGATCAGTGTGTAGGGGCGACCACGGTGGAAAGTTCGAACCAAATGCCCGCACTGCATATTCCTCCTGAGTATGATGATTTGGCACTCGTGTTCAGTAAGAAGAGGGCGACACAATTACCACCTCATAGACAGGGGGATTGTGCGATAGACCTCCAGGCAGGTGCTGCACTTCCGCGTAGTCATGTGTTTCCTCCGTCTCAAGAGGAGACGGCGGCTATGGAGACATACATCGCCGAGTCTCTGGGACAGGGATACATACGGCCCTCCACTTCTCCTGCGTCCTCGAGTTTCTTTTTTGTGAAGAAGAAGGATGGAGGTTTGCGCCCGTGTATTGATTACCGTAGTCTCAATCAGATCACTGTTAAATACAGTTATCCTCTCCCTCTGATTGCGAGTATGACGGAGTCATTACACGGAGCGCGCTTCTTCACAAAATTGGATCTCAGGAGCGCCTACAACCTGGTGGGCATTAGGGAGGGAGATGAATGGAAAACAGCATTTAGTACCACCTCGGGTCACTATGAGTATCTCGTCATGCCATACGGGTTAATGAATGCTCCTTCAGTCTTCCAATCATTTGTGGACGAGATTTTCCGGGATTTGCATGGGCAGGGTGTAGTGGTGTATATTGACGACATTCTAGTATACTCTGCTACACGAGCCGAGCATGTGGCCCTGGTGCGTCGAGTGTTGGGTAGGCTGTTGGAGCATGACTTGTATGTGAAGGCGGAGAAATGCCTGTTTTTCCAGGAGTCCATCTCCTTCCTGGGCCATCGGTTGTCCGCGTCAGGGGTGGAGATGGAGATTGACCGCGTTTCAGCCGTGCGTAATTGGCAGACTCCAACCACGGTTAAGGAGGTGCAGCGGTTTTGGGTGTTGCCAATTACTACCGGAGGTTTATCCGGGGTTTTGGACAGGTAGCAGCTCCCATCACCTCCCTGCTAAAGGGGGGCCCGGTGCGTTTGCAGTGGTCGGCTGAGGCGGACAGGGCGCTTAGACAACTGAAGGACCTGTTCACCTCGGCTCCGGTGCTGGCACATCCGGACCCCTCTTTGGCGTTCCAAGTGGAGGTGGATGCGTCAGAGGCGGGTATTGGGGCTGTACTGTCTCAATGCTCGGGCACGCCTCCTAAACTCCGGCCCTGTGCTTTTTACTCTAAGAAGCTCAGCCACGGGGGACCAATATGGAAATGTATGCACTCATACTGTAAATCGCTCTGGATAAGAGCGTCTGCTAAATGACTAAAATGTAAAAATGTTAAGTCCTCTAATGTTTTACATTTCTAACTCAATAACACAGACCTGATTTGTCCTAATGGAAAATGCATCAACCCCTACAAATATGTCAATTTATTATAATCCACATAATAATTCAAATGAAATTAGCTGTGTGCGAGAGAGAGACTGCGTATGCTAAAGACGATCTGAAAGTATGTGTCTTTAACCCTGTTTTATAGTATAACTTATTTTGAACGAAAGCCACGAATGAGTGAGTCACTCAGCCCTATCCTGAAAAATATAGCAGTCTGCGGTTCTGAAACATAATCTTCAGTGCGGCATAGAATTGGCAGCTTTCCCTATATGTTGCAATGTGAATAATAGCGAAGTTAACCAGCATTTTGGTGTTGAGAACAATGCGGCGGAGGTAGCAGTGGAGTGAGGAGACGAGGAAACAGCCCTTGCCTTAACTGTCTAAGAAAACTGAGTAGAGAGGAAACCCCAACTTAATTAGGTCTATAATCAATAGCCTAACTGTTAAAGGTGCCTGGCTTTATAAAACTTAGAAATGTCCTTGTTTTCGAAAGAAAAGCTATTTTTTTGTCCAATAAAATAACATCAAATTGATCAGAAATACAGTGTAGACATTGCTAATGTTGTAAATGTCTATTGTAGCTGGAAACGGCTGATTTTTTAATGTAATATCTACATAGGCGTACAGAGGCCCATTATCAGCAACCATCAGTCCTGTGTTCCAATGGCACGTTGTGTTTGCTAATCCAAGTTTATCATTTTAAAAGGCTAATTGATCATTAGAAAACCTTTTTGCAATTATGTTAGCACAGCTGAAAAGTGTTGTGCTGATTAAAGAAGCAATAAAACTGGCCCTCTTGAGACTAGTTGAGTATCTGGAGCATCAGCAATTGTGGATTCGATTACAGGCTAAAAATGGTCAGAAACAAATAACTTTCTTCTGAAACTCATCAGTCTATTCTTGTTCTGAGAAATGAAGGCTATTCCATGCGAGAAATTGCCAAGAAACTGAAGATCTCGTACAACACTGTGTACTACTCCCTTCACAGAACAGTGCAAACGGGCTCTAACCAGAATAGAAAGAGGAGTGGGAGGCCCCGGTGCACAACTGAGCAAGAGGACAAATACATTAGAGTGTCTAGTTCGAGAAACAGGTGCCTCACAGGTCCTCAACTGGCAGCTTCATTAAATAGTACCCGCAAAACACCAGTCTCAACGTCAACAGTGAAGAGGCGACTCCGGGATGCTGACCTTCTAGGTAAAGTTGCAAAGAAAAAGCAGTATATCAGACTGGCCAATAAAAAGAAAAGATGAAGATGGGCAGTCTGAGATATGGCTTTTTCTTTGCAACTCTGCCTAGAAGGTCAGCATCCCGGAGTCGCCTCTTCACTCTCGCTTCTATACCTTCCTTATCAAGAGAACATCCCTAGTCATCCCTACTGCCTCTGATCTTGCGGACTCACTAAACACATGCTTTGTTTGTAAATTATGTCTGAGTGTTGGCCCTGGCTAACTGTAAATTACAAAAAACTAGAACATTTGGCCGTCTGCTTTGCTTAATATAAGGAATGTGAAATGATTTATACTTATACTTTTGCTACTTAAGTATATTTTAGCAATTACATTTACTTAAATATATTGAAAACCAAATAATTTTAGACTTTTACTCAAGTAGTATTTTACTGGGTGACTTTCACTTTCACTTGAGTCATTTTCTATTAAGGTACCTTTACTTTTACTCAAGTATGATAATTGGACACTTTTTCCACCACTGGTGTGTCAAACATGTGCTGTTAGATAAAACAAAAAAATCTGACCGATTTCTTGTTAGGGTTAAGGTTAGGGTTTAGCGTAGGGATGTCCCAAGTATTCCAGATAGTACTAACCCTAGTTAGCGGGCTAGATGGGGGTGGCAAAATGGGAATATGGACAAGTCCCTGACAAGTGACAACCCATACATCAAAACGTAGCTACGAAGAGCTACTTTGTAACCTGCTACGTTCTTTTTTGTGTCTCTGAAAACATTTTAATGACAGAGCTTGGGGAATACCCTTCACAAAGAGTAAATATAACACACCAGATTTCGAGGGCTTCAATAAAGGGCTGTAAAACTAACGTTACCACAGAGTTGAACGTTATTAGCACGGCACTTGCTTTACATTTGGGCATAGCATCCATTGTTTTTCACGACACCCAACACCCTACCATGACAATTCAAGTAACATTATAAACTGGGTGGTTCGAGTCCTGAATGCTGATTGGCTGACAGCCGTGGTATACCAGACCGTAAACCATGGGTATGATAAAACATGTATTTTTACTGTTCTAATTAAGTTGGTAACCAGTTTATAACAGCAATAAGGCATCTCAGGGGTTTGTGGTATATGGCCAATATACCACGGCACTCCCCATAGAAGCAGTAACAGCTAGTTCACTCTCATCTCCGACTGGTGTAGTTGCATTGGGTGATAGTGTCCAGTCTTGCTGTAGCGCGCCAAGGCAAGATAAGCTTATAGCCATGTAAAGAGCGCCCACTCCAGGACAAATAATGAAATGCAAAAAAAAGTCACATTCTTTTTTCCGAGCATTTTCTCCGCATCTTTGATCGATTCTTTACGATGGATTAAACACAGATACAACTACAGTACATCCGTAAAAGGCTAATATCAGCTGACAACATCGGCCAATATCGGCTCCATGTAAGATGTTATAGGGTGTGTCACAGAATTGTGTATTGTGTTATTATTGTGTATCTCACAGAAGAGATATTATTGGTGGGTGACTGATAACTTGGCAGTTTGGGAGCTGTACTACTCACATGAGCAGGTTGCTAGGTGCAGACATGGACCTCTCCGCTCTACTCCTGGGACACTCATAGGGGTTACTGAAGGATCTCTTCCGCAGCATGGCCTTCACCAGGATCTGAAACACACACAGGTCTTAGAATCAAATGATTCACACACAGACATGCACACGCCACACACAGACCCATGACCACACAAACACATGTTTCTACATCCATGAAGGCAGGCAGACACAAAAGCATGCGTACACACACACACACACAGGCACACACACCCACACAATAAAAAAACACACACACATAAACACACTTTAGACTCCTTACCACAGTGGACAGGCTGGGGACAAACTTGACAGAGTTCTGCACCTCCTCTTCAGTGACCTCCACCACGCTGCAGTGCTCCTCCTCTAGAGGCAGAGGGTCACAACCATCCTGGGTGACCCACGGGTCCAACTGAGAGAGACACACACAACCAGAATGTCACAATGCTATGGTATGTGCTTGGGCAATACTGGACAAATCCTACCATGAGAGATATGCCCATGCAGAAGAATCTAAAGTTACTGTAAGATCCTTGTCAAATCATTACTGGAGAGGCGGACGATAAGGCAACTTGAGGCTTGCTGAAATGATTGAACAGGACAAAAACACATAGAGAAAAGCAAAAAGACAGCACTCACAAGGCCTAGCTGAGCGAGAGAGGGGGAATAATTATCGACCTAATCTATTGGGCCGACTCTAGAAATGCCTGATGCTGTAAACAGTCTTCTAAAGGCTACGGCTGTCTATCGTCAGGACTGACGTCAGGAGAGACAGAGAGATAGAGATAGTTAGAGAGACAGAGAGAGAGAGAGAGTGAGAAACAGACAAGACAGAGACACACACACAAACAGACAGAGAGAGAGAGAGCGAGGGGAGATGGAGGTAAGCACACAGTGTGTCACTGTGTCAGGGGGTGACACCAGGAGGTCAGGTCTGGGTAGTTCGGGCTTCCTCTGTGTGTGTCAGGGGCTTTGAGTACATTGAAAGCATTTCATGGAAAGCTAATCAAAGATAGCAGCTAAGCCATTCTATTTTGAATTTAAAACATTCCATGGCTTTCTTTTTCTTTCTTCCTTCCTTTCCTTCCCTTGCCCTATTCTGTTCCAGTGCAGGCGGCCACCCCCCAGTCTCCCAGAGTTGTGCATGAAGCAGTACCAGGACTTCTGGTACACATGAATGTCCACATTCATGTCTATGCTCCAGTACAACATCCAGTCCTTTTATGAGTTCAAGCCTTCTAATACAGGGAGCTGATGCAGAGGGCTGACTTTGAGAGAGAGGCCCGCATGCACCCAGTGGAACTGGAAATAAAGGCCTGGTCTGACTCGGAGGACACTGATAAAGAAGAGGAAGAGGTAGTGGCGCCTCCACAGAAGAGGCAACATGGGAACTCTGACGAGCAGTGGCACTTTTCTGATGAGGAGATGGAGAAACTGGAGGCCATGCCCACACCCCCACACAGCCCCTGATCCGCTGACTACAGATCAGATTACAAGTTAGAACTCCCTCTCTGTCACAGAGAGACTAGCAGGGAGAGAGGATTCAGCCTTCACCGTTAGTTTTGGGACTTCCCTTCCTTGAACGTTTTTTTGTGTGTGTGTGTGTTATCTTTAACACTAAGGACAGCTGTTGATCTGTTGATCTGGCAATCTACTTGGAGAACACGTTCAATCATGCTCATGACCCGTTCAGCATTGCCTGATCATTTTGAAACTACCTTACGCAGGTAACCTCCTACAGTACCATTGGTCTAACTCAGGGGGATGACGGTGGAGCACTTGACTGGTTTCTCCTCCCCTCACCTTGATCTCAGGTATGGTGATCCTGGTGTCAGGGTTCTTGTCCAACATTCTCAGGATCAGAGTCTTCAACTCCTCAGTGATCTCTGGCCTACAGGAACACACACACAGACAGAGATGAAATACACAGAGATCAGAGGTCAGGGCTGGTATAGCATGGGTATAACATGCCAGGTATAACATAACAGCCAACAGAGCTATCCAATTCCTTTCACATGCCACCGGATTGATTAATCATCTTAACTTTGGGAGGGTGGGGTGGGGTGGGGTGGATGGGGGGTGGGGGGGTTGAGGGGGTGTGTTTAGACATAGTTCTGTTAACAGCAGTTATTGATCACAGTAATAGTCACAAGAGAGACAGAACATCTGAGATATAAGACAATGAACAGAGGTAGCAATCCTCTAACAGTATCCGTCTTAAATAATAACAGTGGTGGTAACTAAGCTAACCCAGGCAGTGTTCTTATAAGGTGTTTGCATTGAGATGAGCCCGTTATGTATTGTGATGTTGTTGTGTTAGGAGGACTGTGGAGCAGTACGCTATCTTCCCACACAGAACGGCTAAGAGTCCACACCAGACACAGACACACGCACACACACGCACACACACACACACACACACACACACACACACACACACACACACACACACACACACACACACACACACACACACACACACAGAGACTATTTCATTAGGCTGGGGATGACAAGATTACATGTCCTACACAGACAGGGATACTATTTCATTAGGCTGGGGATGACAAGATTACATGTCTTCCCCACACATACTTCAGCTGACACTCTCGCTTTCTTTGTTTCGCTGTGTTTCTCTCTGTCTCCCTCTCCCGTCTCTATGTTTTTCTCTCACTCTCCTTCTTTCTTTCTCTCCTATACCAGACACAGAGAATTAGAATTGCCTCCAGGCTACTTTTTGTCTGGCATTGGGTGTTTTTTCAGAGAGTGAAGGAGATAAGAGGATAGAGTGAACGAGAGAGAAGGAGAGAAGAGGAGAGAGGAGACTGGGAGTGAGTGTGTCTGAAGGCAACCACTACTGACACTCCGGTTTGGCTTCAGAGGGGCTGTTTTTCATGACATTCAGTTGACAATCACTAGGAACATCCCCATACTTTTGAAGGGTGTGTGTGCGTATGTGAGAGTGACTCCTAGGCATGGGCTTTGCCTCTGAGCAACAGCTAAGTTGGCAGCATCGGTTTCAACTCTGGGGTGTCATGGTGGCTGGAACATCAAGTCTGTCTCATTTAATAAAGAGGAGGAAGGGGCGATGGAGAAAAAGAGAGAGAGACTTACGACTCTGGGAACTCCACACATTTAGTCCTGATCTTATTGTGTAGAACCAGGATGTATTCATCGATGAACGGACACTGCAAGTAGAGAAGCGAAAAGAGGAGAGGAGAGGACAGACGAGTAGAGAGTAGAAGAGAAGAGAGGTAAAAAAGTGAGCGTTATACATTTGAGTTATAATTACAATTTTAAGAACATCTTGGGGCAAAACAAGTCTGTATCCCTAGTGACGGCTGCTTAGGTAAGAGCATAAATATGATGTGCACCAGACTGCACACAGTGATCATTAAAATGCTAAATGTTCCACTGTTCCATTAGACGTCTGTGAGAAGCTATAGAGAGGGGCCAGCTGTGCTAGCAGTCATGTCTATCTATACATAGGAGAAACCCCTCTTTCACTTCTTCTCCCATAGAACGTCACTGAACAAACAAGTTGTTGGCAGGCTGAGAAGTAGTGATCAGAAGAGAAAATGGTCACAGAAATGAGCTGGCTGGCTTACCTTCCCAAACACAAAGCAGTAGAGAGTCACTCCCATGGCCCATACATCCAACGCCTGAAAAACAATAGCAGTCAAACGGTAAGAGGAGCTGTACCAGTGAACACATATAGAGAAACACAGACTCAGAATAAGATTACACAGACAGACATTCAGACTGACTGACTGACAGACAGACACAAAAAGACACAGACAGGTAGATACAGACAGATAGACAAGCACACACGAACGCACACACCCACACAGACCGCTCATACCATTTTCCAAGTCCATTATCAACCCAACCTGCAGAGTGGATCTCTAGGGACCTTTGCAGGGCAATCAGATAGGAAGCAGAAGCAGAGAGCCAATCGAGCCTCAGCCTGCAGCCATCCATCAGTCTCATTCCTGCCCTGTTCTCTCTCTCCCTCCCTCTCCCTCTCCCTCTCCCCCTCTCTCTGTCCTCGATCTAACAGCTTGGTGCCAATGTGCAGCACACTGACTGACCAGGACACACTCTCTCTGCCTGCCTGGCTTGCTTACTGGCTGGCCGGCTGGCACTATGATTGATAAACCCAGCCCTCCGACCCCAGCCACTCTATCACACAGCCACAGACACACACAGCCTATATTTTATCACATGGACCACTAGAGCACTGCACTGCACAGCCAATCTCTTCTATGCAGATACATACAGGCTACTGCAATTTCAGAGCGACTGAGAGAGTGGCTTTTGTTTTGTGTGCTTTTAAACATCTTCCATTGAAATCAAATAATTTAGATTGTGTTTTGCGGCTGTGTATAGAATTAGCAGACGTCAATAATACAGTGTTTGCTCTGGAACGAGGCTCGGGGACTGCTAGACAAATCAGAACAGGAGTGCCACTTGTACAGCACATGTTCCTTGAAGACAGACAGAAGGAAGGCTAGCGGCCTTGAGCACTTGTCTCCTACTCAATTCATACTCTGCTGACAGTTTTGCCTGTCGTGCAATTCTCTGTTCCAAGGCAGGGCCTTCCCATCCGTGACCAATCCCATCAAATCAAACTGCCATTTGGGGATTACCCAGAAAAAAGGCCTGACAATGAATTAGTTCTCTTAAAAAGCGGGTGGGCTGATTAAATAGAAGCACACAGAGATGAGCAGTCAGTCAGAGCAGCACAAATATGCTGATGTGTGTTGTGCTGCCTAGTAGTGGACTCTCCTCTGCTCTCCTCCCCTCCTTTTCTCTCCTCTCCTCCTTTCCTCTCCTCTCATCTCGCTGCCTGACGCTTGTTGCTAAAGCATGCAGGGAGGGACATGGAAAGAGAGAGATAGAGAGAGAGTGAAGGAGGGAGAGGTAGGTTTCCTCCTGGCATGGGTGGCCCCACAAACACTCTCCTCTCCTCTCCTCTCCTCTCCTCTCCTCTCCTCTCCTCTCCTCTCCTCTCCTCTCCTCTCCTCTCCTCTCCTCTCCTCTCCTCTCCTCTCCTCTCCTCTCCTCTCCTCCCCTCCCCTCCCCTCACCCACCCTTCTCCTCTCTGCTCTGCTTTGACTGGCGGGCGGCTCATTTTAATTTCATGATTTTTATTAGTCTTCCTCCCGTTCTGCCTCCTGTTCCTCCGCTTGTTCCACGGCTCGGCTGGCTACAGGCTAACATCTACAGCAACCGATGCTGCCAACCCTTGAACATCCACAGCTCTATATAAACAGCCTGGGAAATATACATTTCCCATGTTAGAAAAAATATTGTACTGCAACGAGAAAGCACACACACACACACACACACACACACACACACACACACACACACACACACACACACACACACACACACACACACACACACACACACACACACACACACACACACACACACCCTACCACACACGAACACTGACCCACCCCCCGCCCATCTCCCACACACACACACACACTCTTTGACCCTACCTTGCCACTGAAGCTCTGGTGGATGTCTGACAGGGTCTCTGGGGCCATGAAGGCAGGAGTCCCAGCCGTAGAGGAGAGCAGGGCATCGTTGCCCTCAAACTGGTTACTGACCCCAAAGTCAGCAATCTTCACATGGCCGTCGTCCCCCAGCAGCACGTTAGCAGGCTTGATGTCCCGGTGGACTATCTTCTGGTAGTGCACTGAGGAGAACGGAGAGAGAGAACGAGAAATTGGCATTTTACAGGGTATTCCAGCAAAATAGCACCTTGTAGAACTTCATATGGACCTGCACCTGACCATTATGAATTGACAAAGATACAGCATTTTCCGTGGTCAGAAAAAATGCAGGGCTCGAGTTATTCTGCTGGGATTATTTAAAATATTCTTTGAAGAGGTAGGGTTTCAGATGTTTTCGTAAGATGGACAGGGACTCTGCTGTCCTAGCTTCAGGGTGAAGCTGGTTCCATCATTGGGGTGCCAGGACAGAGAAGAGCTTTGACTGGGCTGAGCGGGAGCTGCCCTCCCGTAGGGATGGGAGGGCCAAGAGACCAGAGGTGGCAGAACAGAGTACTCGGGTTGAGGTGTAGGGTTTGAGCATAGCCTGAAGGTAGGGAGTGGCAGTTCCTCTTGCTGCTCCGTAGGCAAATACCATGGTCTTGTAGTGGATGCGAGCTTCAACTGGAAGCCAGTGGAGTGTGTAGGGAAGCGGGGTGACATGGGAGAACTTGGGAAGGTTGACCACCAGGTGGGCTGCAGCGTTCTGGATAAGTTGCAGGGGTTTGATGGCACAAGCGGGGAGCCCAACTAACAGAGAGTTGCATTAGTCCAGACGGGAGATGACAAGTGCCTGGATTAGGACCTAGACCGCTTCCTGTGTGAGGCAGGGTCGTACTCTACGCATGTTGTAGAGCATGAACCTGCAGGAGTGAATCACTGCTTTGAAATTTGCAGAGAACAACAGGGTGTTGTCCAGGATCATGCCAAGGTTATTATTTGCACTCTGGGAGGGGGACACCAGGGTGTCAGAATGGGGAAAGAGAGTAGTAGTTGAGTGCAATCCGCATAGCAACGATAGGAGAGACCATGTGAGGATATGACGGAGCTGAGTGACTTGAAGAAGAGAGGGCCTACAACCGAGCCCTGGGGGACACCAGTAGTGAGAGCACGTGATGCAGACACAGATCCTCTCCACACAACCTAGTAGGACTGGCCTGCCAGGTAAGATGCAATCCAAGAGTGTGCAGAGCCTGAAACGCCCAGCCCTGAAAGAGTGGAGAGGAGGATCTGATGGTTCACGGTGTCGAAGGCAAAGGATAGATCTAGGAGGATGAGAACAGAAGAGAGAGTCAGCTTTGGTAGTGCGGAGAGCCTCCGTGACACAGAGGAGAGAAGTCTCGGTTGAGTGACCCCCTTCTTGAAGCCTGACTGGTTACGGTCAAGAAGATCGTTCTGAAAGAGATAGCGAGAGAGTTGGTCAGAGACATCATGCTCAAGTGTTTTGGAAAGAAAAGAAAGACGGGATACCAGTCTGCTGTTTTTGACGACAGAGGGGTCGAGTGTTGGTTTCTTGAGGAGGGGAGTGACTCTGGCCATTTTGAAGTGAGAGGGGACTAGGCAAGTCAGTTAAGAACAAATTCTTATTTACAATCACGGCCTACACCGGCCAAACCGGTGATGAAGGAAGTGAGAAGGTCTCCAGAGATGGTCTGGAGAAGGGAGGAGGGGATGGGGTCGAGCGGGCAGGTTGTCGGGCGGCCGGACCTCACTAGTTGCAGGATTTCATCTGGAAAAAGAAAAAGGTAAGGAAGGGAGGGCAGGAGGGGAGGGCCGAGCCGGCCGGGAAGAAAGTGCAAGTCATTGGATGCAGAAAGGGAGCAGAGTAGGGTCGAAGAGGCAGAATCAGGAGACAGGAGGGAGAAGCTCCTCTACTTCTACGACTACGCAGATATGAAGACATCTTACTCATTATACAATGAGTATAATTGTAATTATAATTAATCCTCTGTAGCTCAATTGTTAGAGCATGGCGCTTGTAACGCCAGGGTAGTGGGTTCGATCCCCGGGACCACCCATACGTAAAAATGTATGCACACATGACTGTAAGTCATGGTCCTTCCACATTGGTTCTGAAATCACTATCACCCACTAATTAACTTGTCATTTTTGCAGATTAAGTGTTTGAGCTAGTAATGAGATCAAACAGGAGCTAGTTTTTGGTTCTACCTGGAACCAAAAAGGGTTATTCAAAGGATTCTACTATTTTAGGTTCTAGATGGTACCTTTTTTTCGAAGAGTGTAGCCCAAGCTTTGCCATGCTTCTACAGAAGCCTACCGAGCACATTAGATTAGATTTTATTGTCCTCCAAGAAGGCAATTCATTTCCACATTCTTGTACATAGACATAGAGACCACCAACAAACCCATACACCCAGTCATAACATTTACAATACCAAACCAAACCAAATGTCCCTATTGTATAGAGAGCATACACTTCCTACATGACATAAAGTAGCCCATTCTCTACAACGGTACTACAGTACAGTTTGCCTATTGATGTATTGATTGTGCTCATAGCCCTGCGAGCCAGACCACGCTCAGTCTAAAACAGCCTTAGATAAGCCCTAATTGGTTATGAGCTCAATGGCGCTGAGGGGAGATTGTATATGACACACCAGAACAGAGAAGCCCTTTAGGACCTGAACATACTGTGGTTGATGGGAGATATATGAGGGATGAGTAGAAGACACAAAGAGAGGGGGAAAATGGAATCTGAAGTCTACCAGGCACACAGTTCAATGCTGTTCAGTTCAATGGAGGCAGTGGTGGTGGCTGGCTTCTCTTCTCCACTGAGATTGATATGGGGGTAGTTGGGTAGTCTGGTAGCTCAGAGTGAGAGCCTCTGCTGGTACTTACAATGATGTATTCATGTATGTGGGTACTCACAGTGCTCCATGCCCAGGATACCGAGGACGATCTCTCTCAAGTAGAGGCAAGGAGGGGAGGAGGAGGAGTAAGGGAGGAGGAGGAGGGGATGAAGAGTGGAGGAGAGAGAGGAGTATGATGCTGGTACTCACAGTACTCCATGCCCAGGACAATGTCTCTGAAGTAGAGGCGTGTCTGCTCCTCAGTGAAGGGGCTGTCTGTGGGGACCTCCATCACTGGACTGTGACCGCATCAGGAACCAACACACAGATACACAGAGAGTGTTAGCGAGAAAAAGAGACAGAGAGAGAGAGAGGAGGGGGTGTAGATAGAGAGAGAGGGATAGAGACAAATAGAGAGACAGACAGACAGATGGAGAGACAGAGATACAGAGAGACAAATAGAGAGTTTTTTGTCATCAACAGCTGGAAGGATACCACTTGTTAAGCTACTTTAGTTCCATTCCATATGGCATTTGAATACAGCCTATATATAAATCCAAATCCAGGCCCACTCTGTAGCAGATTGTACAAACAGTAATGTTACACAAGACAACCACACAACCTCCCACGTCACTGGCACCCAACATCTAATAATGCCATGTCAAATCAAGGACCAAAACAGCACCACCCGGTAACAGCTCAATGTCTCCTGCTCACATAGACAATATTTCATTTAACACAGGGCTTAAATGGAACATGACCAATCTGTCCATGTTATCCACAACAGTAACAGTTAAATAGGCAAAAGGTGGATTAGCTGGGAAAAGTTGCCCTTCTATTGAAGCAAAATGTCATGATTCAGAAATAACTCCCCCATGCGACAAGATCTATTTCTTCTGTTTTCTTCTCGTTGTCATAAAGCCATTAGCTTCACATCAAAGTGGCTTCTTAGTGATAGAAACAGGGGAATAGTGATTACTAATAGCTGATAATATGCTATGAAAGTCCTGCCTACTTCCTGGATCAAGTCCCATTCTGTTTTTGAATGGGATTCACAAAAGGTTTTCAATTGTGTTTTTTTGTTCACAATCAAAAACCTTCATGAAAGCCATCAGGTAGAAGGTAATTAATCCATGAATACAAATATTATTTTACATACTGTATATCTTAAATGACAGCATTTTCATGAATTTGATGATAATACTCTTGAATCCCATTCAAAAACAGTATGGGACATGATACAGGAAGTAGGCGGGACTTTCATAGAGTATAGCTGATATTAATATTACATTTGCGTCCTTGGGTCCAAAGCGTCTATGGATCCAAAATGTCTTTGGGTCAATTTTTCTACAGGAAGGGATGTATTATTATTAACTGGACATGAAAGGGTTAACCAACAGAGCCCAACCAGTGGGGCAGAAAGTGTAGAGAAACCCTGGTGCAGTGGTGTAGTGCTAATACATTTGTTACATTTTAGTCATTTAGGAGACGCTCTTATCCAGAGCGACTTACAGTTAGTGAGTGCATACATTATTTTTTTATTTTTCATACTGGCCCCCCGTGGGATACCACTGGTAATAACTGTCAAGTGTAAAACATAAGCACATAATGAATCCCTCTGGAGAGAGAGAGAGAGAGAGAGAGAGAGAGAGAGAGAGAGAGAGAGAGAGAGAGAGAGAGAGAGAGAGAGAGAGAGAGAGAGAGAGAGAAGAGAGAGAGAGAGATGGGGGAGGGAGCAGTGAACAAACACAGGCACTACATCAGCTTTGAGTAATGAAGGAGAACACTGGAGAGAGGGAAGAGAGGAGAAGGGGGATGAGGGGAAAAGGGAAGATGGGATGGCAACCTGGCCTCAGAGCATTTTGTATTATTCTGTATGTAAATCCGAGACATTGCTTTTAGTATGATATGTTACATTTCGTATGGTATGAATTAATTTGTGGAAGTCCATCACCCATTTCATATGAGATGTTACAAATTACAATTCGTATTATACGTTACAAATTAGCAAAACGTACAATATGTTCCGAATTAGCAAAATGTACAATATGTTCCGAATTTTCTAAATGTATGATAGACAAATTCTAGCTAGATGGCTAACGTTAGCAAAGCTAGGGGTTAGGATTAAGGTTAGGGTTAAGTTTAGGAGTTAGGTTAAAGAGTTAAGGTTAGGGTTAGGGGAAGGATTAGCTAAAAGTTTTAAAGTTAAGGTTAGGGGAAGGGTTAGCTAACATGCTAAGTACAGTAGTAGCTAAAAAGTAGTAAGTAGTTGAAAAGTTGCTAATTATCTCAAATGCAAAAGTTGACCATGATGAGATTCAAACTCGCAACCTTTGGGTTGCTAGATGTTTGCGTTATACGCCCCACCCATACACCCCGACCAACCACCCTAGTTTCGTTTTTGCATTAAGTAACCATCTGTCTTTTGTGACCATACCAAATGTAACATATCTTACTAATTTGAGTGTCCTGGATATACGTGTACTATGTTATGTCTAGTCTATGAGACCAGGCTGGGGATGGGGGCCAGGCTTAAATTATTGTTGAAAAAAGTGCAATACTTAGGCTACTCACCCCTTTGGCATCAAATCAAACACTGCGGGAGATGGTGAGAAGAGAAATACATGAGTCTACATACAGTGCATTCGTAAAGTATTCAGACCCCTTCCTTTTTTTCCACATTTTGTTATGTTACAGCATTATTCTAAAATTGATTAAATTAAACAACAACACAATCTCATCAATCTACACACAATACCCCATAATGACAAAGCTAAAACCGGTTTTACACATTTCTGCAAATGTTTTAAAAATCAAACACAGAAATATCTTTTTACATAAGTATTCAGACCCTTTGCTATGAGACTCAAACTTGAGCTCATGTGCATCCTGTTGTTTCCATTGATCATCCTTGAAATGTTTCTACAACTTTCTACAACTTGGAGTCCACCTGTGATATATTCAGTTGATTGGACATGATTTGGAAAGGCACACACCATATAAGGTCCCACAGTTGACAGTGCATGTCAGAGCAAAAACCAAGCCATGAGGTCGAAGGAATTGTCTGTAGAGCTCCGAGACAGGATTGTGTCGAGGCACAGATCTGGGGAAGGGTACCAAAACAATATTGAAGGTCCCCAAGAACACAGTTGCCTCCATCATTCTTAAATTAAAGAAGTTTGGAACCACCAAGACTCTTCCTAGAGCTGGCCGCCCGACCAAACTGAGCAATCGGGGGAGAAGGGCCTTGGTCAGGGAGGTGACCAAGGACCCGATGGTCACTCTGACAGAGCTCCAGAGTTCCTCTGTGGAGATGTGAGAACCTTCCAGAAGGACAACCATCTCTGCAGCACTCCACCAATCAGGCCTTTATGGTAGAGTGGCCAGACCAAAGCCACTCCTCAGTAAAAGGCACATGACAGCCCACTTGGAGTTTGCCAAAAGGCACCTAAAGGACTCTCAGACCATGAGAAACAAGATTCTCTGGTCTGATGAAACCAAGATTGAACTCTTTGGCCTTAATGCCAAGAGTCATGTCTCGAGGAAACCTGGCACCATCCCTACGGTGAAGCATGGTGGTGGCAGCATCATGCTGTGGGCTTGTTTTTCAGCGGCAGGGACTGGAAGACTAGTCAGGATCGAGGGAAAGATGAATGGAGCAAAGTACAGAGAGATCCTTCATGAAAACCTGCTCCGAGCGGTCAAGACCTCATACTGGCGCGAAGGTTCACCTTCCAACAGGACAATGACCCTAAGTACACAGCCAAGACAACGCAGGAGTGGCTTCGGCACAAGTCTCTGAATGTCCTTGAGTGGCCCAGCCAGAGCCCAGACTTGAATCCGATCAAACATCTCTGGAGAGACCTGAAAATAGCTGTGCAGCGACGCTCCCCATCCAACCTGACAGAGGTTGAGAGGATCTGCAGAGAAGAATGGGAGAAACTCCCCAAATACAGGTGTGCCAAGCTTTTAGCGTCATACCCAAGAAGACTCGAGGCTGTAATCGCTGCCAAAGGTGCTTCAACAAAGTACTGAGTAAAGAGTCTGAATACTTTTTTATTTGTAATAAATTTGCAAAAATGTATAAAAACCTGTTTTTGTTTTGTCATATGGGGTATTGTGTGTAGATTGATGAGGGAAAAAAACAATTTAATCCATTTCAGAATAAGGCTGTAACGTAACAAAATGTGGATAAAGTCAAGGGGTCTGAATACTTTCCGAATGCCCTGTACATACATGTATGTCAAAGAGATTGTAGTATATTGTAGAACTCGGCACATGGGTTGAAGACTGACTGACACAAACACTAAGTTACTACACCTTTTCACACAAGGCCTTAAATGAGCTAAATAAGATCATCAGCCAATGGCCATGCCTAAGTCAGACTTCCTCTCCTGCCATGCCTACTACGTTGGGCCAGTAACCAAAAGGTTGCTGGATCGAATCCCCGAGCTGACAAGGTAAAGATCTGTCGTTCTGCCCCTGAGCATGGCAGTTAACCCACTGTTCCCCGGGCGCCGATGACATGGATGTCGATTAAGGCAGCCCCCCGCACCTCTCATAAAGGTTCTTCAATTGTCCCCTCAGGAGAACTCTCTGAAAATATTTTTTGGGGGTTCCAAGTGGAACCCTTTTACTAATACAAGGTTCTACGTGAAACCCTTTCACCACTAAAAAAGGTTCTAAGTAGAACTAAAGGGTTCTACTTGAAACCAAAAAGGGTTCTCCTATGGGGACAAATTAAGAACCCTTTTTTTCTAAGAGTGTGCTAAGGGCTTCATTAATGAGCATTTGCATATGGAGTCAACTGTCCCAGCTGCTAAGGGCACCAACGGGCCGATTTAGAGTTTGAGATAAGCATGCTCAACTTGGACTTTCACATAAATCATTCATTGATGTCAACGTGAGGTTAAGTGCACAGTGAGAGAGCAGGAGAGAGTAGTTTGGTGAGGTACATACCCATGTGGAGGTTATCCTCGGCAGGATCATCCAACACCTGCAACAATGATAATACATCATCAGGAATACATCATATAATAGAATACACAACAGACCCTATAGTATAAGGACATGGCATTAGCATTACACT